TTGATTCCTATAAGCATGACACCTTAATTATATGAATCAACGTTAGAAATAAATTATTTCTAACAATCAGAATGAGATGGAGGGAATTTCACCCAGTAATTCCGCTTTACACATCACTAATCATCAACGTGAGTATCTTATTGAATTACAACCTTTATTATATAAATCATTATTAGGAAATAATTATTTCTAACAATATATACCACTTTACCTAACTCAAGAAAGTTGAAAATTTTAAAACAAAATGCAATAAACAAAAAAATAAATAAACAGAAAAGAAATTGGATAAGTTTGGTTGTTTTGTTTTGGTTTTTGTAGATTGGAGGATGGAGTCAAACATTTGGAAAATCGGGTGGATGTAAAAAGGTGGGAAATTTGACATTTGTAACAGTAAGGGGTGGAGTTCATTATGTGCCATCTTCATCTCCCTCGAAAGCTCTCACACTTTTTAAGGCATTTCTCAAGGGATCTCCACCACTAATTTGTATTCAAGTATTTATACTATAAGTAGAAACAGGGGTGGAGCCAAGTATTTATCATGGTTGCAATAGGTGCTAGGCGCTAGTCGGGCGGTAGAGTAACGCCTAGCGCCTAGACGGCCTAGGCGGACGGCCTAGGCGGGGGGCCTGAGCGGTCTAGGTGGTCGCCTGTTGGAAAAATTAGCTTAAAATGGCATAAAATGGCATATTAAGTGGCTATTTTGTGGTACAATTATCAGTGGGGTCCACTTTCAATTTGGGTCGGGTCAAATTGGATTCGGATTCTTCGTAGTGAGACGAAGAGATTGATATATTGTACGCTCAAAACGGATAATGGGTGAATGAGATATTGATTCTCAAAGTAGACCCATTTGAGTTGGGAAATGAAGGGAAATAGTGGACTTTGTCCCACATTGGTTTGGAATGAAGATTTGCCCCCCTTATATACAAGAGCTCTTTTGAAGCTTGTAGAATTGTATAGCATAGAGGCTCTCTCGCGCGCGCGCGCGCGGGGGGTGGGTGGGGTGCAAATCAAAATCCAACTAGAAGAGATCGAAAAGGCTTGATTCAAGCCCGAGCTCGCGTGCGCCGGCACGAATGTCGTCCGGAAATCCTACTCAGTGGGTGGGTGTTACACAATTGGTTTTAATACCAATTTAATGGCCATGTTGAATGCTATCCCTCCAACATCCCTATATAAAGAGAGGTAGGACAAAAGCATATCCCTATATAAAGAGAGGTAGGACAAAAGCATTTTACACAGCACAAAACCAAAGGAATTCCAGTACTGTTTTGCTTCAAAACTTTTGCTTCTACTCTCTTCTTTACCCAGCAGTATTCTAAGCTTTGCTTTGTTTGCCGTGTTCTTTGTTTAGGTGCTTAAACAAAGAATCGTAGCATGTGAAAGGTTCACGTGCGGTTGAATGCTTCCTGTGCGGTTGTGCGGTTGATTAATGTGCGTGAGGTTTGTACTCAATGTGCGTGATTATTGTGCTTAATGTGCCTGAGATTTGTACTTAATGTGCGTGGGTGTGTAATGTTAATGTGTGTGAGTTTTGTACTTAAGGTGTGTGAGTCTTGTGCCTAAGGTGCGTGAGTTGTGTGCTTAATGTGAGTGAGTGTGTTCTTCATCCACTGTTGTGAAAATTATGCGCATCCACTGCTGCATTTTCTTCTTGTTTTTGTTTCGAAGTGGTGGAGGAATGGATTTTGTCTTGTTTTTCTTTGCATACTAAGGGGCCTTTTGAGTTTTTTTACCACCCTCCCAAGTCTCCTTTGTTTCAGCCTCATTCACAATGTCTTTTATGCTCTCACAGATTGAAACATTTTCGCTCTCATTAGCATTCTCTCTCTCCTGTATAGATAAAACATAAAATCAGAACAGCCATATGTGCGTTTACATATATCCATCCATTCACACACAATCAGAAAAGCTTCACCCACCTTCTCTTTCTGTTCTGCTTCCTTCTGAGCTCGTAATTCTAAACTCAAGTCACGCACATTAAGCACAAACTTCACGCACATTAAGCACAATACGCAGGCACATTAAGTACAAAACTCACGCACATTAACATTACACACTCATGCACATTAAGTACAAATCTCAGGCGCATTAAGCACAAGACTCACGCACATTAAGTATAAAACTCACGCACATTAATCAACCGCACAACCGCACGAGAAGCCACAAATGCACCTGATCCCTTCCCTATATATATATATATATGTGTGTGTGTGTGTGTGTGTGTGTGTGTGTGTGTGTGTGTGTGTGTGTGTGTCATATACATGGAAAAAAAAAAAAAAAAAAACAAGGCCGAATCGGCCAGGTTAACTGGGCTAACTCGGCCAAATTCGGCCTAGTTGGCCGAGTTAGGCGCTATGTAACACTGGTATTTATACAATGAGTAGAAACAGGGGTGGAGTCAAAATTTTGGTCAAATCGTTATGTTAAAATAAAAATATTAATATATATTAGATGTAAAATGCAACACACCAATGGTTATAGTGTGGATCAGGATCCATAGTGCACTATGGACTCTGGTCCTAAATGACGTAGTTTTGAATTTTAATTTTGATAGCGACAGTTTGTTGTTCAATTCACGTTACAGATTTATTATTTTTATTTTTTTTTACTGTAAAGCATATATATGTGTCTTGTGTTATGCATTTTTGTGTCTTATGTTATGCAATTATGTACCTTAAAACTTTTTCTCGTGCGCAGGGGTTATAAATTCAATCCCAAAATGAGCATAAAAATGCTTGATTCATGTGCACCTATAACTTGCGTAAATGAATATTGGCAACCTTTGTGCGCTAATATTTTGCCAAATTTTAAAACTTATTATATTTTTTCCAAACTATAGAAGCTGGACTGCTCAATTGCCACGTACCAGGAGACCTTGTGGTTTACTGGACATACATCGCGATCTATTGAACATGACAGACCTTGGGTCCGCTGACTGGGCAACGTTTGGGTTTGTTGGCAAGGGTAATCGGTGATAGCCTTTGGGTGTTCTACCGGCTAGTCTATCGAATTGAATTGCCTCACGGTATACCAATTAAGACTTGTCTTCCATTATAGTAACCTCTACTGGTGTATAATCTCTTTCAGCAAAATTAATTATATTGAGAGTAATTAAGTACTCGTTAGTTTCCAAAATTTTAACGGTTGTAACGGTTATAACATTAGTTGTTATTTACAGAATTGATGGTTTGTTATGGGAGGTTACAAATAGATTTTAAATAAGATTATATTTAGAGAAAATTGCATCTTTAGTCCTTGAATTATAACCAAGTTCCGACTCAATCCTTAAATTATGGCCGTATCTGAGTTCAGTCAATCAGTTATGAGCGAAGTGGTGAGTTTGGTCCCTAGCGTTAATATTCCGTCTGCAGATAACGGAAAACTTAAAAACAATTTAATAATATAAAGATAAAATAGGAATTTCCAATTACAATCTCATTCTTATGTTGAAACCCATTGCGCAACAGTCATTCTTTTCTTTTTATACCTACAAATCTACAATCGAAGGTTTTTTTTTTTCCCCCCAAGCTTTGAAATCTCAAATTTGTCCACTTCTAAGCTGCGAAATTCACAAGTAAGTTGTTTCTCTATTTTATTTGTTTAAATAAATAATCAATATTTTTCGTATTGATGAACTAATTTAGCCATTAATTATAGGATGTCACCTCTTAGTTATTGTACTTCATCTTTCCCTCAATTTAGGGATATTCAATGTATATGTGATGATTTATTACCCATCAAAATGTCATGGAGTTATGCTAATCGAGGGAAAAGATACCAAGCTTGTCCATGTTATGGAGCAAATTTTTGTATTTGTCAAAAGATTGTAATTTAAGTTTTTTATTTTATTTTATTTTTATAAATAGAATTGAAATATTGGAATTCAATTTTTTAGAAAAAAAAAAAAATGGGACTAGGGTTTCTTCGCTGATTACATAAGCAACTTAGGACTTTTGTCAATTTGGGGAAAGTATTTTGGCTAAGTTTATAAGTTTTATTAAGAAATTTACTTCTTTATCCCTGGAATTAACTTTGTCAACACACCACTAGCGTCAGGGCCAAACTCGTCACTTCTCTCATAACTGAGGGACTAAAAATGGATACAGTAATAACACAGGGACTGAGTCATCACTATGGTTATAACTCAGGGACCAAACTCGCCATTTTCCCTAAGATTTAATTGCCACGTTCATGATAATTTGACCACCTTTTCGTATAAATACCGTGGTGATGAACAAATGTTGTAGATGCACATGCATATTATAGATTGTCAGCGACAAATTAGTTTGAGTGCTCAACTAGTTTATTGTAAGATTCATTTTATCCTGAAAATTTAGACTACAATGCTCTTAGCATCTTTTAGATGTAACAAATAAGCGAGGTTTGAAAGAAAGTGTATGCTACACACAACGTAACTCAAATTTTCTATTTACCATGAACACTCTGTTTTTGCTCGTATTTCATAAATTAATTCTTAAAGTAAGTTAAATTATTTTGGACCAATTTTTTAAAATTTTTTTACCCATACAATTAATCAATAATAAGAAAACAATTTGTCAAACAGATTTTACAAGGGATGATCAGAGCCCAGAATTGAGCAGTTGGTATAACACCACTACTAATTCAAATAAAAGGTAGAACAATAGATCAGTGATAAATGAAAGTCTAAGGTGACAACCTGACCAAAAAAAAAATGTTTCTTTATAGAAGTGAAGCAAGTTGGACAGCATCAACTATACTACTATACTATATACTATATATGAAATCACGCTATTTAAGTGTTTATCATTATTCTGTTTCACTTTGTTGTTTAATTTGTATAATCAACTACTAACAAATTAAAGAAAAAAACATCATATATCTGATCTGTTAGGTTGTCCCATACACCATATTTTCTTCCCCACACTTTCTATGTGTATGTAATAATTAATAAACTCCTAACAAACTTAGCCATCCATTATATTGCTATATAGGTAGGTGATTAAAAACTTAGGCCTTCACTTTCATCATATATATCTATCATTAAAAAAAATAATGGTTTTCTTATTATGGTTCTTGTTGGTGAATACATTATGTTCCATCTCAATAAGGATTAATGGTGAAATGATAGATTCTCTCCCGGGGCAGCCCTCGGATGTGAGCTTCACTCAGTTCTCTGGGTATATTGTTACAGATAAATCTCGTGGTAGAGCTCTATTCTACTATTTTGCTGGAGCCCAATCAGAAGATGAATTATCAAAGCCGCTTACACTTTGGCTGGGGGGAGGTATATATGCTAACTTCTCATCTTTATTTTAATGGTAACATTATTGTAATTTATACCACTCCATAATATGTCAATTATCAATGTCACTTCTAAATTATTAGTGATGTAAATGTTGTTCCTCAATTCACGGCTGGAGATTATGAAATTTCCGACCACCTGAAAGTGATCTTAAATCAAATTGAAAGCAAAAAGTGGTCGGAAATAGCAACAAAGGTTTTTCTAGATACCAAAAATGGTTGGAACAAGATTTCCGACTTGATTTAAGATTACTTTCAGGTAGTCGAAAATTCCATAATTTCTAGTAGTGATTTTTCTCCCGTATTATATGTGAGGGCAATATATGTACAATTTTAAAAATTGAAAGACAACATTTACACCACTAATAATTTAGAAGTGACATTAATAATTGGTCTATATATATGGAGGGACATAAATTGTAATTTTTCCTATTTTAATTTAATGCCATATATAAAAGAGTTTATAAGAGGGGAGGGTATATATTGGATCTGTTAATTAAAATGTATCAGGCCATGATTGTTCCATTGCAACTGTTGGGATGTTCTACGAACATGGTCCATTTAGGCCGACAAAGGATGGGAAGCTGGTAAAGAACCCATATTCTTGGAATTTAGGTATGTAATTATTATTAATGTTTTGTTTTTGTATATGTATGGTTCTGTATATATTGACTAAGTTGATGTTGAAATGAGCAGTGTCGAACATGTTATACGTAGACACTCCAATAGTTGCATATTCATTCTCGAATACAACCTCAGACTACCAAGCATGGTGTGATTTCGAGACAGGTGCGTACGTGCCTATGGTCAATTAGCCTATTAGTTAATTTTAACTTAAATCACTATTAGTTATTTGACTTGATTAAACAATCAAGATGAGTGTTTGATTAATTTGATTTTCGTAAAAACTTATTGTTTTAAAATGTTAAAAAATTTAAAAAGCTGTTCAAAATAAAAAGCTGCTCAAAAGTAACTTTTTCGATCAATTTTTTGAGAAAGTTATTTTGTAATAATCAGTCAACAACTAACAGCTAATTACCAAACCCTTTTATAAAATTAGTTAATACTATCAACTAGTCACACCTACTAACCCAATTAACTAACAACCATTTACCAAACACTCTTTTGTATGTTTAAATTAAATTTAGCGTTTTTATTTAATTTGTTTGCCATTTTTATGATGCAGCCTATGAAAATTTGAAGTTTCTTCGAAAGTGGTTTCTTAGATTCTATGAATACAGAAATCTGGATTTTTACATTGCCGGAGATAGTTATGGGGGTAAACACTACACTACATTACATATTTTTAATTCCAGTATATCATATATATATATATATATATATATATATATATGCAATAATCTTTGAAATGGGGTTGTATGTAGGTCACTTGGCACCACAACTTGCTGCATTAATCCTTGAAGACAACAGAAATCCAGCACATTTGAGACCAATAAAGCTCAAAGGAATTGCTGTGAGTTAGTTGCTTCCTTCCATCAATTCTTCTCCTGATCTGATCTTCTGCATCATATGTAATTATCTAATTTGGAGGGTGTGATTAAGCAAAAGGGACTTATTCATAAAGGTTAGGGAATCAATCATTAGTTTTAAATATAGAACAATCTTAAATCTTCAAGCCAACTGATTTACCTTACAATTCAGCAAATCTTAGATCTCCATATTTAGCTTTAGCTTAGAGGTGTTACAATTCAACGAGAGAATTTGTCACTGTGTCTGACGATGAAAATACTGGGTTACATTAAAAAAAAAAAAAAAAAAAAATCATATGACATTTTCTTCATTCTGATTGTCTCTCATTCAAGCTTAACTCATTGTTTGTGTTTTTTCAATAAAAAATGTTTTCAGCTTGGGAACCCAATTCTAGAAAAGATGAGTTTATCTAACGTTGAGCATCTGTGGTACCACGGAATCATTTCTGAAGAAGTGTACGGTATGCAGAAGAAAGTGTGTAATGCAACAACAATGATTGACGAATTCTTAAGCGGAGAATTGTCTGAATATTGCTCTGACATAGAAATTATGTTGTCGGAGGAAATTGGGCATGATATGGATAAGGAAAATTTAGTCTTTCAATCATGCGAATCCTCCTCAATCTCATCATCTCAACAACATTATGTAAGTTACCAATTCTTAAGTCATTTCACTATATATATATATTTTGGTTCAAATGAGAACAGGGATTCCCGTGCGGTTGATGCAGTTTATATCATTAGGTGTGCATAAATACACTACCCCCAGTATTTGAAAATGCATTAGAATGAAATGCCACAAAATGCACCACACATAATGGTGTATTTTTGAACACGGTGTGGTACAATTATGCATATCTAATGGTGTAAACCGCATCGACCGCACGGGAAGCTCTGTTCTCAGTTCTCCAAGGATATATACATCATGTATATTTTTTCAATCTTAATTGTTTGTTTCTTCTCTGCCATGCATAGCTTGCTACTGAAACAGCCGATCCATGCCTTCGTGATTGGGTAGGTGAGTACATAAACAGGCCAGATGTTCAGAAAGCTTTACATGCCAATACAACTGGCTGGCAATATCCTTGGAATTTTACTTCTCCTGGGTATTGTACTTCGTAATCTATATATTCTCTTATTGTGTCTGAAATCACTTGTAATTGTACGTGTGCTAAAACTCGATCCATAACCATAATCAATTATGAAAAATGCAGGAAAACGAGTGATGTGATTTTGCACAACTTTGCTATTGACATATTGCCAACATTGTCAGCACTTCTAATGAGTGATATCCCAGTTCTGATTTACAGGTCCTTTATGACATCAGATACATATGTTAAATTGAGAGATTTGAAATTATATATTAATTGATAATTAGAGTTACATTATGGTGCAGTGGAGATCAAGATTTAAGAATTCCTGTCTCACACACTAGGGAAGTTGCAACCGTGCTTGCTGTACGCTTGAAGCTCACCACTTTGGAGATGAATGGACCTTGGTATGATGGCAAAGAGGTATATATACCACTTCACCTAACTCAAGAAACTTGAAAAAATTCAAACAAAGCAAAACAAAATGCAATAAACCAAAAAAAAAAATTGGGTAAGTTTTGTTGTTTTGGTTTTTGTAGATTGGAGGATGGAGTCAAACATTCGGAAACTCGGGCAGATGTAACAAGGTGGGAAATTTGACATTTGCAACAGTAAGGGGTGGAGCTCATTTTGTGCCATCTTCATCTCCCTCGCAAGCTCTCACACTTTTTAAGGCATTTCTCAAGGGATCTCCACCACCCAGAACTAACCCCAACCACTATTAGTTTGTATTAAGTATTTATACTATGAGTAGAAAGTGCGGTGGAGTCAGAAATTTCGATCAATGGTGACGAAAAATTAAAAAAAAAAAAAAAAACTTCAAAATATAGCTAACAAGGTTTGATCCTAAACCTTTTGTAATCAAAATTCACTATCAACAAACTATGCTACAACTTTAAATAAATTTTATGCATAATAATAATTTTTTTTTAATGTATATTAATTATTAAAGCATATATATAGAGGAAGCCGTTCAAGTGAGAATCAGATGCCTAGGAGAGAACTAAGAACCACTCATAGCCATCTACGTGTCCAAATCTAACGGTAAGAAACACTAATTAAAAAAAAAAAAAACGCGATTGCATTTTCATAAATAATTGAACATCGAAGTGCAAGTAAATTGTGTTAAAAGTGCAAGTACTAGTTTCATATAGTACACCTAAGTGCAGGTAAAAATGTATTACAAGTGCATGCAACTGATAGTACAAATACGGATGTGTACGTATAGTATTGAGTACAGGCACTTGAGCTCGGGATCCTACAACAGTAGGTCAGGAGTCTCCATTCAAGGGGCCGAAATGTGAAGTAGGTAAAAGTCCTCCTTATCGCAATAAATGCGAGCGAGTATTTATAGCGGCTATTTCCACCTATTTCAGTGAAATGATTTTAATGGTGATGATGGTGTGTGTGAGGATATTCTCACTAAAGATATCTTCTCAAGGGGTTAACCAAAAGAGTCTTGAATCATGTGTGGTTAATCACAAAAGTATCTAATGTTTGGAATCTAACTTGAATAATTGGGTTGAGAGTCGTCATACAAGAACAATTAAGTACAAAGTAATTTACAAAGCAAATAACAAGCTATAGGCAAAATTAAAGTAGGGGTTAGGATTAAGTCACTCGTGCCTAAATGTTATAGAGTTTCCTAAGATAGGGATCATGCAATGATTTAACAAGGATAATGGAAGATGTTACTAAGTGTCAATGTCATTCTCATGGCAATTATTGGACTATCAATTAGTATTGAATTACATTCTCATGGCAATTTATTCTAATTGGAGCAATTTATCAAGCACATAATATTTGCATCTTCTTCCAACCTCCTTTTCTCAAAGCAAGATTGAAATTTTAGGTAGTGTGGCTATAGTGATCGGGACTGATGTCTTATTCTCATAGCAACAACACACCTCC